ACATAGAGGGAAGTCATCTGGGTCCCCGACAAAAGGTCCTCACCCATCCAGGATGTTTGCAGTCCTCTCAATTGGCTCAGTCTGGCTCCCTCTCTCTCTGCTGGGCTGGCTGGGTCACTCCGGCGGCTGGTTCAGCCATGCGACTAGGCCTCGGTTCAGGCGCTCGAACACAGTCTTTCTGGTTCAGCAGATGAACATCCGTCCTTCAGAGCGCTGCTGTACAGATTCTGTGTGTCCCAATCTGTCAATGGGAATCACACAGCTCTGCTGCATGCAGTCCTGATTCACACAGTGCCGCACACAGGCCTGCCATTCAGACTGGGCACGCTCAGTCACTGCAGTACATAGCCCCCCTCCTTCCTCTCGCACAGCATCCTGGGAGTGGTAGTTCACAAGAGCTCTATTAGCAATCCCCAGTGTCAGCTCTGCACTGCAATCCCCACAAATCTCTGCTACAGATCACACACAGGGACAAGTTAACTCCTTACAGTTAGGAACAAGAATCGCTGTGATAGCACATATATGTATATTATATAGGGGCTACAAAAGTAAATCCAGTGGGGTTCGCTGCTTCCAACAGAATACAGAGCCAAAGTCTGTAAAGGGCAGAGCTGTATAAAGCAGGAGTATCCAGTATCCGGTTAAAAAGAAAAAAAATATTGTGGAAATTAAGAACAACAGGGCTGCAACCCATGTGCGCCCGAGCTTAGGTGTTAGATACACCTCTCAAGGCATAGAGAAGTGCCAACCAGTCAGCACTCAAGGCACAAGAAAGTGATAATCAAATCAATTACCACAGAGTATCCAGCCAGTCACCGGCCAAAGCCAGAGTGTAAAAATAATGAATCAATCCGGAATCCTGGACCTGGAGTCTATTCGGATATAACATACTGTACTGTATGTCCCGTATTAGACATCTGTCTCGACTATTTTATAAAACAAGTCTCACAGATGGTCTCTATAAGTAACCCATGCAGATCAGACATGTTTTTTTGGGGAGAAAACTGAAAGGAGGCAAAGATGGAATGTGTATAGAATAGACATGTGCACAACAAAAAAAAATTGTTTCCAGACGAAACAAATGAAAACAAAAAACGTTTTCATTCGTTTCGTTAAATGAAACAAATTTTTATGTTGATTCAGAGGCAACGAGCCTCCAAATCCGAAACCTCACACTAAAACCGCAGAACGAGCGGCGGCCATATCAGCTGCCGGCGCGTTCTGCGCATGCACGCGTCAATTCTGGAGTAGATCTTGGTATACACCAAGATGGCGGCACCCGCATGTTCGAGTCATGTGACGTCACACGCTCCGCCTCCAAGATGGCGGCAGCCATGCTCAAAATACGCCAGCGGACAATATGGTTGCTGGGGTGTTCTGAAAATGAATTTATGTATGCCCGAATATCGTTTTAGTATATACTGGCATATATTCAATTTGTTATTTTGGATTCGGATGAACTGCCGAATCAACTGGTTTTTGTTGATTTGCAGGTTTGTCCAAATCCAAATGCAATGCAATGTCTAGTAAAGAAAGACATAGATTTAATATGTACAGAGGTTCAAGAGAGATTCAAATGTTGAGGTGACGGCAGAGGCAGACGTTTTTTTAAAATTAGGATCTTAATTAAAAATAATTTAGCTAATCTACTTAAAGTTAAATATTTTGGGGATTTGCAAACCTTTGGAGAGTTCCTCCTCTGCTGATTTGGTTCCTTGTTTAGGTTTAGGTTTCAATAGCTTAGTGGAGAGAACTCCTTGGTGAATGGTGTAGAACTGAAAGTGTAAAGAAAAGTAATAAGCATATGACTAATAGTAATCATAATTACGGTAAACAAACTAGGGAAGCCAGTATATAGATAATGCACCTTGTCACCCATTAATTGCAGTAATTATTGTTCATATCATTTAAGCAATAAACCATCATCAAGGATGGTGCAGCCTGACAACTAACCAAAATGGCATATGCTCTGTAAAATCCTGTGAGCACCTACGACCAAGCAAATTCTGCATGCGATTGCTGCGCAGCTTGATAGGTTGCCCTGTTGTCACATGGCTGGTTAGCAGCAAACTGCACATGGATGCCTTGATTAATATATAAGTGCCAGGCTTCTTAGCTGATTGTCTATAACCCATCGCACACCTGCCTGATAAGTCCATGGATGGTAGTGGGTGCTGCAGTGAAAAACAGATGGCACTGTGCAGTACAAGAAGAGGGAGAAATCACCGGCACTCCAAATTCCTTAATCAACACATCTTTTTTTGAAGCATGATTATTACATGAAGTATTACATAATTGCAACATTTTGGGGCTGCACAGGGTAGAAGTAGTGTTCTTTCTGCGTAAGGTTGAACATGTCACCTGCTGAATCACAGATAGAACTCTCCAATCAGTGGGGAGCATGAGCTTTGCTGATTGATGAACTCTGGGTCTGTCTCAGAAGGGGGTATGTCGAACCTCTGCAGAGAGATAACTGTTTCTACACAGAGTGCAAAGTTCCCTCACTGCAGCATGTTGGCAGGTGACAGGCTTTTATACTCAAGTTGTGGCTACTTTCTAAGAAAAATAAATGTAAGACTTTGCACACCTTTTTTTGATGCACCTTGAATGTATTCAGCTGATTTAACCTGAAATTTGATTTTGGCATTAATAAACTTTAGTACTTAAGGTACAATTGCTACATAGATCATACTGATGCCCAATATTTTATAAAGTAGTTAGCTAGCTACATATATACTCATTTTTCAAGAGTGTGTAAATTGATTAGGCTACAGTCACAAGCTATAAAGAGTGGAATTATTTTAGTATATGCTTTATTTTAAAAGACTCTGTACATTTCATGTTTTGTAAGTTTACTGACATCTCTGGCCTTTCGAAATATATATTTTTTAAATATAAAAAATATATCATCTAATTAGGAGTTGGTTCATATGATAAAACAAGCCAGTCAACAAAGGACACCCCTAACGCGTGCCTCGCTCCACAACAAAAGGACACCCCTAAGCAAGAACATATTCTTGTGTACCTCTATTCTTCAAAACTGCACTGTAATCTCAGAGAACTATGCTGTCATTTAATATAGTCCAAAATACATTTTCCATATTTTTAATGCTCAAACAATGGACACATTTCTGTTAATATTATTTAAACCTAAGTAGCTGTTTCATGATGCACAATTAATTACCTCAATCATGTCTATCAGGTTTCTGAATTTCTGTATAGGATCGATTGTAAGGGTGTTCTCGATGCGATGAATGCGATAGTGCACAACTTCACCTTGGTGAGATACACAAAGCACATAATCCCCAGGGTGTCTTATTGATTCTCGTACTAAAAACAATCCATTTTCTTTGGTTTGAAGCTGCTCTACAGCCTGCACCCCAGATATAGAGCCATGGAACCAACTGTGATGTGGTAAAAGAAGGCAAAAACAAACAGGTCCAAGAGTTTATACCATAAATGAAATAATAAACCTAGCAAAGCAAAAGAAAATTTTGCATCAATAGGAATGGACAACTAAAACTTCAGTGCATATTTATAAAATATAGTAAATCTACTAACATTTGCCCACCTGGAGGCAGCTTTGAAGGGCAGAGGGTGAATGCTTTTACCATAAAGAATTAGGAATAACATCCTTAAAAAACAGTAATCTGGAAATGGCAAATCTTTAAAATTGATTGACAGAAAACTTACGGCATTAAGCTAAGTCGAGAATCAACTTTGATTGCTGGACGTTCACGCAAAACATTGGCAGGTATCAAACCTTCCAGACCAGTTGGATGGTGACGGGCACAAAACCATCCTCTTTTCTAAAGCAGAGATTAATGGAGCAATATAAGTGTTTGACATATAATCAAATAAATAATAAGTGTTCATAAGAAGACATGATTTCTGCTCTGAAATGTTTAATCAATATCACATATTTATGTAAGCTCACAAAAGGTTATAAAATGAACATGCTACTATGCTGGGTGAGAGACATTTTTAAATCAAGACACTGCCTTTTCGCCTTCATCTGTAGGCACTTTCCCCCTTCAATTGTAGGCAAAAATGTAATATAGATGAACAAAGGCTGCCAATGTGCACATTTCCCAGATTAGTATACATTAAATGATGGAAATCAAGATTAAGTACATTTATTCAGGGAGGATTTCCATGTTAAGCTTATGAAAATAATATTGGGGAACTATATATAACTGTCAAGGTACAGTACCGTGTTTCCCCGAAAAAAAGACACTGCCTTATATTTTTTGGGGCTCAAACAAACACACTAGGTCTTATTTTCGGGGTAGGTCTTATTTTTTTTTTTTAATATACAACAATCCACACTTATTCATGTACAACAGTCTACATGTATCATGTACAAAAATATCGTTATCAGGGAAATCAGGGGTGCCATACCTTTCCAAGAGCAATTTGCTAACCAATGGCTGGCCAGAATGAGCGAAGTGCGCTTTCACTATCGATTCCTCACAGGCGGAGAGCATTTGGTATCACTCCGCCTGTGACAGGAGCCGGCGCTATAGAGCAGGCATCAGCTTATGGGGCTCTGCTCCCTCCGGTGCCACCTCGCTTCCTTTAGCGCCGGCTTCGTTGGCACCGCTGATTCTCTCCTATCTCTCCCGTGGCTCTTCAAGTTCCCCCTTATGCCACCATCGACCCTAGGAATGGTCACAACTAGGTCTTATTTTCAGGGTAGGTCTTATATTTTAGCAATTGCCAAAAATAGTACTAGGCCTTATTTTCAGGGTAGGCCTTATTTTCGGGGTAGGTCTTATTTTCGGGGAAACAGGGTATATAGTGATCTTGTGTTTAAAGATAAAGAAAAAAATACTGTGCAGCAGAAGGTCTGGATAAAGCCTTCAATCTCGATGCCTCAGCAGTGACGAGCAAGTGAGGGACAGGGAGGCTCCTCCCTGTCGCCTTCCTTCCTCCTCCCTCCCTCTTTCACACTAGCTTGGCGACCGGGTTGGGGGCGGGGCTTTAGCTGGCTGGGGCAGGGCTTTAGTTGGCTGGGGGCGAGGCTGGGGAATGCCTCCCTTGGAGCCAAAGGTACCGCACGTCACTACTCTGCACCAGTTGCTTTTGCTCGTGGTACCAGTTCGCTCTGTCATCCCCATTGGTCTGCACCTTCCTGCATAAGGATAATTTGCTTGGGAACAGATGCTGCAGCACCAGCACTCCTGCTCCTCTGATGTCCCTGAGTCACCTGTTGCCAGCACCAGGCTCATATGGATCAGAGATGTAAAGGGGCAATGCTCACCACTTGGATTCTGATCAAGTATGTGGCAGTACCGCTAACCATGACGGAGTCCACTAAGTTATGATGTAAAATACAATTGCAGGCAGCAAGAGTTAGTCCATATACACCCCTAGGCATTTTGACACTAAAAGCTAAGCGCGACAAAACTCTCCACACAAGAAATCTGATTAATATCAATGGCCTCTGTTCACCCCTTTGAGTTTTGTCACAAGCTGTAAAACGCCTTTTTTTTGCAGGTTACAGTGCATTTGGCCCCATAGACTTTTAACGGAAATGTCTTGCACATTAATGTACATGTTTTTGCGCGGTTTGATCACAATATTTGTTTTTTTAAACATGTTTTGCTCGCTAAAACATGCGTCTTCATGTGAACAAGAACGCACTAGACGAGACGCTAGACAACATGTGCGCTAATATGCGCTAAAACACTTGATGCCTTGGTGTAAACGGAGCCTTAGGAAATATGTCCTGTGAAAAAACACATGCAGCCATATAGTGCATGTGGACAGAGACAGGGTGTAAAGAGGCTGTAAGAGCTAGTTCACACCAGATGCAGTTGTGATGCACTCCGTTCAGTTTTGCAGCTGCATCCAGATTGTGTCACAATGCATTCCAATTGGATTTCTGGTGCTCTGTTCACACCAGTGCAGTCCGTTCCGATGCAGTCAGAAAAAAATATTGCTGGCCTCATTTTAGCTGCATTGAATCGCATCGGAATGCATCAAAATGTATAAACAATGCATGCAAACACAACGGAACGCATAAACAAAAAACAGAATTGGAAGTGCTTTGACAGAAAGAAGGAAGTGACATAATGGTCTAATTTGTATTTTGAAAAAAAAACAACCGCATCGGATAGCCTCAAAACCGATCGCATTGCAACTGCGCATACGCACGCAGTTGTGATGCGGTTCTGGTGGGAACTAGCCTTAAGACATCAGTAGCATTCACATGTAACAAAGGATGAAAAAAGGTAATAACGCTTCTCTTTCCCCACCCCAAATTCTCCAAGATACACAACATTTTGCTACTCATAGGACATTCCGTGACGGTTCCATAAGGGTAGACATCAGTAGCATTCACATGTAACAAAGGATGAAAAAAGGTAATAACGCTTCTCTTTCCCCACCCCAAATTCTCCAAGATACACAACATTTTGCTACTCATAGGACATTCCGTGACGGTTCCATAAGGGTAGACATCAGTAGCATTCACATGTAACAAAGGATGAAAAAAGGTAATAACGCTTCTCTTTCCCCACCCCAAATTCTCCAAGATACACAACATTTTGCTACTCATAGGACATTCCGTGACGGTTCCATAAGGGTAGACATCAGTAGCATTCACATGTAACAAAGGATGAAAAAAGGTAATAACGCTTCTCTTTCCCCACCCCAAATTCTTCAAGATACACAACATTTTGCTACTCATAAGACATTCCGTGAGGGTTTTCCATCTACTTAAACAGAGTTACCAGTGCCTATAAATCCTACATTAATCTCGCCCTATGCACTTTATCAGTGGTTTTCCCTTTCACAGCTAAGATTGAGTGAATCTTCTTGGGTTCGGTGTGCAGCCCTTTCGTAGAACCCATCAAAGTTGCAAACTTAAATCTGAACCTATTCAAGTAAATTGGGGGCAAATCTTGAAAATCAATTCTGATTTTCAAGGTTAATTTGCAACAGATTGTCAAATAATGGGCATGGGGAGCTGAGCACTGACATGTATCAATGCAAAACTAAATTTAACAAAATGCCATTCAGCGTCATGAGGGTCTTCCTTTTTATGCGACTTCAAGGGTGACATTGGAAAAACAAGATGTATGTGGTGTTACAGAACAATACAAGGACACCTTCAGCAACACCATATTCTGGCATCATACAGTTTGCATATGTAATATATATTTTTTTTTCTTTTACATTATTGCCCAGCTTTAATAGAAGCAGCACCCCAATCGGATTCATTATAACTAGAATTTTTTTTTCTTAGGTAGTTTTGAATGCAACACCTGCTTTTTTTCAAACCAGGGGTAACAGGCATGAACCAATAGCCACAACAGATCTAAAAAAACATTTTCTCCCAACTGAATCCCTGACCATTCTGTTTTTTCTGTCCTTGCTATGTATGACATCATTATTATATACGTTCCCCTTATCTGCCGATATCCTGTGACTTTCTATTCAGGGTCAGTCTCCCCTGAGATGATGTCCCTGCTCATGTGCCTTTAAATACGGTACCCCACATGATGGCCCGCTTTCAGTGTCCCTGGGACAATTTTCTTTGGGATACAACATACCATACCTGGCAGCACTCTTATTGTGCGTGGGGAGTGGTTGTCTGTTGCTTGTTACCTTTTACCTGAAAGTATTAGTGCTTCCGCACTAATACTTATAATTATTTTGCAAGTACCCTCCCATGTTGATCACTATATTCCATTTTGTGCTGCCTTGATGCCCCAGGAAAATGGATAATTGTATATGCACCTTCCATAATTTTACTTTCCTGGTGCATCATATGACAGCATAAAGGATTCCCATCCTGCATTGCTCACATGAATTACTGAGAATGGTTAGAGATTCCATTGGGAACATATTTATTTAGGTCTTGTCCTATGGGGTTCAAAAGGGCAGTGCAGTAACCCACTGTGTGCTGCCATATGATGCACCAGGAAAGGAAAATTATGGAAGGTGAGTATACAATTTTCCATTAAATACTAATATATATATATATATATAAAAATTTGTCTGGCACTAAGAGGAATATCAGGTCATATGATGGTGACCTGTTTCTGGCTTAAATAATTATATGGAATGAGCATGCAGCAAGCAAGTCAGAATGAACTTCTGATCTTTATTGTCTTGCTCACTGGATGAGCAAGACAATCAAGAAACTAGAATGAGCTTAGCATTTGCAGCTTCCATATTTCCATAGTATAAGTTTGCTTTTAATAAACACCGAAAAAGCATAACTATAAACATTAAACATACTATAAATACAGTATAATATAAGAAAATATTTGTCTTACCTGGCTTGTGCTTATTATAGTAACAAGGTCACCTTTTTGAAATGCTAGTTCCTGTGATTTAGGATTGGTGTTATCGGTTCTTGTAATATACTGCATCCCAGGCTTTAGAGTTCCCTGCAACGAACAATAGAAATATATAGTAGTGACCTTAACAATGTATATCATAACTATTTAACTAAAGTCTGTTGAGCAAAAGTTATCACTGGGCCAACAAACTGGCATCTTAGACATGTATTAGTTACAGTATTTATATAACCTAGATTGATTCACATCAGTACCTGTTTCCTTAATGAGATCAAAACCTTATGCTCCCACCACACTTACTATAAGGCCACACGCTACTACGCATGCGCGGGTCCCAGCCTTCCGGGTTGCCGGAAAATATGCGTTAACACGCATGCGCTCACAGCGGAATGTTACACCCAGGAAGTGACACAGTGGTGCACAGGAAATGACACAGGGCCCTCTAATAGATGTTCCTATTTAAACCAGCTGGCCCAATGGGTCAGTGTTGAAGGTCTTTCAGCTTGTGCTTGTGTTCCTGCTGATCTGTTGCCTGTTACCTCGACCTGTAATGCTGCTGACTTCGACTGATTGCTGCCTGCCCCTGTTATCTGGACTCTGCCTGCTCCTTCTGTACCATGCTGACCATCTATCTTGACCCCTGGTTTGTTTGACCTCGCTCCAGTTTCTGCTGCAAACCTCGCTGGCATCACAGTTGTGCACCTGCTCTGCTCATCCTTCCAGGGATCCAGTTGCCGGACTTCTACCAGACACCGTGTCTGAACACTTTGGCACCCGTGCTTCTCTCTGTCTCTCTGCCTGTTTCTGTCAGAACTATTGGGCAGAAAGGAATTAATTTATAAGGCCTATACATATTATTTTACAGATTTGTATCTGGGCATCATGGAAGCCATTTTGTCTGTCTGTTAGAAGGTGAATGCAAATTTATTCTTCCTGGTTGAAGATTCTCACAGAAAATTTTACGAGTCTTAGCATATATATTCCCAGGTCATAAATTGTGGGGTCCTAGACAATTAACACAAGATAAGGACTGACTATGGTGCCAGGCTGTGTTATAATGAGATTGATGACTGTCATGTCTCAATTTAAACAATGTGAAAGAAACTGAAATGTTTAAATATTTTTTCTTTCTCATTACTAAAAAGTAAGCATTTAAAAGTTGCCAAATGAGACAGTACTATTAGTTGCAAGAGATAATAGCAATAATTTCTATTGTATTATGATATTATATGAAGCATCTATATGCCTATTTAATTGAATAATTTCAAGTATATATATAAATTTTTTTTACATTATGTACTTTCACAATATTCAACCTATATTATTTTTATATTTTGTTTGGTTTTACTCATTAAAAAATATTAGTATGTATTATCAATATGGTGGGTTTGTGTTTGAAGTACATAGAATTAGGTGGATATACCAGTGTATTTTTATCATGTTTTTTTTTGGAGAACCACTGTGCCTGGTACCCACATTCTTTCACTTTCAAACTATTTGGAGAAATAATATTAATTGCCTTTGTTTAGGCTTTCTTAAAGTTATATGTCTATGAGGAGACCATCAGTCTGAAAGGTGCTGTCACATAATGGACCACCCTACTATATTTATGGTTTTGTCCAAGGCTTAGGTCAGAGGTTATCTTTTAGGAATAATTTTGGCATTATAGGCAAGTCCAACATTTTTATACAGTCCAATAGTGCCCCTTTTAGATGATGGCGAGGATGAGGTACATAATAAAATGATGTAATCTGACGTCATTAATTACGGGGAAAAGACAAATCCACGCCCACATTCTTTGGGGGATAAACGTTTGGAGCAGGAGATGGAGGGGAGCTCAAAAGAGAAAAAGCAGTAAGGAAATACATACCAAGGGTAAAGGGTATTTTTTTTTCATTTTAAATGTCGCTTTTTTCTTTACAAATATCATTTTCGCTGCAGCAGGTTCTATACATTGTACAGATGTTCCAGTTTAAAGGGGACAGCCCAGGCACGATATTTAAAGGAGTTTTTCATTTGTATTGTTTCACTTTAAGTCATGTTAAAATCACTGCTGCTTTAAAAACGGTATTTATAAAAAAAATTGTGTTCCTTGATTCATGTCCCACAGGGCCTTATCCAAATCCTCATACCCTTTTTATGTCCAATAAATTGCATATAAGGCTTAAAAATTGGGACATTTGATTTTTAAAGTTCTACCCCCATAGACTTGCATCGAGTTCGAATTCAAACTTTTCCCAGGTTCAAAAGTTCAAATTTGAACCGAACAGGGGGGTGTTCGGCCCATCACTACACTTAAACTCCCTCACATTATATCACTCACATTAACCACTTGAAAGCCATGTGTTTACACCCCCTTCCTGGCCAGGACATTTTTCAGTATTCAGCGCTGCGGTACTTTGACTGACATTTATTCCGTCATGCAACACTGTACTGAAATTCATTTTATACCCTTTTTTGGGGACAGATATAGCTTTCTTTTGGTGGTATTCAATCACCACTAAGGTTTTATTTTTTACTATATAATGAAAAAAAAAATTAAAAATATAAAAGACGGGGTCAAGTCGGGTAAATAGACACCAAACATGTCAAGTTTTAAAATTGCGTGCGCCCGCGAAATTGCAAAAAAAAAACATACCCAAAATTGGCCATAGGTGATGCTTTAAAAGCTTTTACTGCTCATCAGTGTAGTGTCAACAGTGACTGATGGCCCTAGAATTTTTACCCTCACTCTGACGTTCGCAGTGATATGTAACATGTGTGGCGCAATGGGTGAAATCGTAATTTTCACACATTTTTCACACATTGTAGGCGCGCGCATGTTTGTGTGTGTATGCGGGGTAACTTTAATTTTTTTTAAACTTTTTTGCACTTCACTTTATTGCTATCACTTAGGGGGCTAAGAAGCCCCCTATGTTATAGCCAATTTACACAGACAGGTCCTCTTTATGGAGACATCAGGGGTCTTGAAGACCTCTAATGTCACCTAGGGACCCCCAAAGAAGCTGATGAAGCAGAGATCTGCTTCACTAGCTTCTCTCCAGCTACAGAAGCCAGATAATGACAGCTGAATGCGAAAGTGATGTAATATACATCACTTCCTGCATTCAGAGAATGGAGGAGAGATCAGAGGGAGTTTGTGTTATGATCACCTTCTGATCTCCAGTGACAGAGCCGCCGTGCAGGTCCTGGGCCCGTACAGGGCTCAGCGGAGCTCAGGATCAGTGGTTGCAGGGGGGGGTGCACACCCACATGCATAATACAAGCGATCCAGCGACTCTACAGTTGCCGGACCGCTGGCTATTTACAATTTAAGCAGTTTTCCCGCTTTTGCGCCCCACTCAGTGGCCTAAAAACACCCACTCACAAGCAAGAAGCTCCCGGCCGACCTATCCCCATCGATAAAATCCCTCAATACAATTGTACTGCTGCAGGCCAATTTTACATTGCTGGATCATCTGCAGTATCTTTATTTTTGTTGCAAACCCCAAGCCTGTACTCTTTGGAATTGATTTAGTAAAGGCAAATAGGCTGTTCACTTTGCATGGGAATTTTTCATTAGCCGAGTGAATGTGGTGAAAATTGACTTTGCAAAGAATAGCCAATCACGTGCAAGGACATTAAACAAAACAAGATAAAATTCCTGGGCAAAGTGAACACCCTGTTTGCCTTTAGTAAATCAACCCCTTTGTCTTTAGTAAATTTTGGCCTATTATCCCTGATTAAACCTGTGGTGCTACTGGCCAATTTTATGCAGTTGTATCCTCTGCAGTATCTTAATTCACATAGTAATACCTGTCTGTGTTATGTGTTCTAAATGTGGGCCTAGCCTTGCTCATGCTTGCGCTGTTGTTGGCCAATTTTACATTGCTGTGTCATCTTTGGTCTTTAAATTCTGTAGTAAAACACCTGGCTGTACTCTATTTCTTCTAGTATATTTCAGCCAATTCTCTCTTATTAAAATTGCCCTGCTGCTGGACAATTGTGCACAGCTGTATCATCTGAAGTCTCTTAAAGCATTACTAAAGGCTAACCATTTTTTACCCTAATGCATTCTCTGCATTAAGGTAAGAAATGCCCCACTATCTTTCCATGCTTCTCACCTGCAAATACTTACATATGGTCCACACTGGGGGCAGGGCAGTGATAGACTGCTGTACCTGCCTGAGAGGAGGTGGGAACAGGGATGTGGCATTCAGAGTGCTCTGTATGTCAGTGGACACACACAGCTCAATTCCCAGCCGGGAGCGCGCAGGCACGGGTGTCTCCTTTGCAACCTGCTAGACAAAGGAGACACCGATAAACAGGAGGGGAGGGGGCCGCAGTAGACCCAGCTAAAAAATAAAAGAAATGGGCAATAAAAAAAAAGAAATTACACAAGTACTAATGGATCTCCTGTAGAGAATTAAAAAAAACACACAAAGGTTTAATACCACTTTAATTATTGATGAGAGTTTGATAGAAGTTGGCCAGGGGGCAGGACATTTTTGCATCAATAAGAACCGGGACAGCCTCAGCAAATTATTGTTTGTACAATGTCATTGAGTATGTTCATGAAAACTGTCCTGTTCTTTAACACCACATACAGAATGAATGCATGCATCCCCTAAGCATGTTATTTAAACGATTTGTGTATTTTCCATGTTGCCCTCAAAGATTAATAAAAAGAGCCTCTCCTCCTGTTCTATACTTAAATACTTTTTTTGTGTTGCTACATGTTCCCTATGGCACTGCCCAGCTTCCCATGTCTTTTTTTAAGTGATTTACCCGAGCAATGGTCAGAAATGAATGACAAATATACCTCCAACGACTTCAATGGGATTAATCTCTAAGTTCAGGCTCGCCAAACTTCAAGCAACAATCACCAGACTCCTGCAGTAGAAAAAGACACCTCCCTGGTTCTAGGGCAATTGAAGTAGCCATAGAGGATTAAGCTCCTAGAGGACAATGTACAAGGCCTCCCAACTTGGGCTGTAAAACCCAGGAGTGAATGTCAGTTCAGTTTTAGAAGCCCCAGCTCAAAGAAAGAGCTTAAGAAAGCTTGGGTACTAAGGCTGAACATGTGTGTTACCCCTTCACATGTGGCCCTCTAGGCTTGTCATTGAAGGTTTCCCTGGCCTTCAAACTTATTGTGGTGTGTCCATTCAGTAATCACTTTCAGTAATAAACTTAATTAATGACATTCAGTAATGCAGTTCAATAATACCATATATAGTTTCCTAACTGAGACAACAAAACAATGGAAAAAAATGTAGTAAACCAAGGCAAGCAATCTGAAGTCATCACCGGTCCAAACAATGATATTTCACAGTTGATGCATTTGTACATAATTGTTTATTCACTACTCTATGAAATAAACGTGTATGAGTGCTATTCTATCTTGTTAATAAAAATAATAATATTTTGAAAAGTGATATGTGAGCTGTGTTGTAACAGCAGCTAAAAATTAATTTAGGCTGCAAAGTCACTTAAATAACGTACCAGGAAGGCCTGGTTTTGCAAAAGTGGAAGGCTTAATAATTTTTTTCCAGCAATAAAGTGGTACTGTATATATGTACAGTTTACACATGTTTCTTGACATGTGCAATCTCATAAAGTGAGTAGTGCTAAGTAACTTACATCAGACATATTCTTCGCTTTACCAGCTGGCAAAATATGTATACGTCTTCTCTCTCTGAAAAAGGTAACT